CGGAGTTTGGCAAGAACCGCAGCTGTTACACTTTGGCGGCATTTTCATATAATTTATTGCCTGCTCCGCCGCCAGCCGGCAGGTGGGTTAGGTGCTTTAGTCGGCGGCTGGTGGATTGAGTAGGGTTTGGGTCCCATATCTGTGTCTATGTGGCCGCAGTTACAAGTTGCGTTTATCAACTGACAACTAGCTAACAAATAGCGCTCGAGTCGGAGTGGATGGGTGGTTGAGTGGCTGTCTCATTTGGCCTTCTAATTAGAATTTATTGGATGCCTGGCCGGCACTTTAAAGACGGCTTTAAGGCATCCTCGAAATGGAAAACTTCCCGTTCCGCCAGGTGGAACAGCTGCTGCTGCTGCTTCATGAGCGGCAGCAATAATTGTTATTTCAAAAGGGGGTCGAGCGGGAGGTGAACCGGAGATTCCCGCTTTGTTATGGCTGCAGTTTTCCGCTGTTGTTATTTTTACCTACATATGCAATTTTTTGCACCAAGGCTGGCATTCGCGGCGGCTCCCACGCCCCTATATCACTACATACCCATATGCCATCATCGCCGTCAGCAGCATCATCATCCTCGTCATCAATGATGTCAGCGGGTGGAGCAGAGGGGAGTCGATAGTCGAGTCGACATCAATGAACCGATCCGGTGCACCAGCGGAAATATTGAGTCCTATCTGTGTCGTGAGCGAAACACACACTCTTACGGTTGGGGCCAAAAAGATAGTACTGGCTACAAAAGGGTATTTCTATTTTATTCTAAGCGAAGCTGCTTTGTCCTTTTGGCAATAGCAATTAACATGTTTGCACGTAAGAAGCACGTATTTTAAAATAAATTCTTAAAGATTTATTTTGTCACTGCTACTATTTCGCCCTCCATCGTGCTCCACAGACAGTCAGACAAAACGAAAAGCCTTTAATCGACAGCAACATATTCGATTTTAATATTCATATGCCGTCGTCATAAATTCATGACAAAGAGAGCAGAGAACACAACACAGGGGCCGTGCAATAAATGAGGGCGTTGATATGGTGCCCCTGCCTCATCCTTCTTTTCACCACCCACACAACTGAGTGCAGAGTTATTATCAACTGGGTTCGTGGCGGAATTAAAGTTGAGCAGACTGGCTGCTGAATCACCCACTTGGAGGCCATTTTGCGGCAAATAAAATTATGACAGTGGACGGGCAAATCACAAGTCATGGACCTAGACACGGCGAACTGCTCATTATGTAAGGAGTACTGCCTTCTAATTTGGGCACTTTTATTTCCTCGTGTCCAGGCAACTCTGAGCCCCTAAGCCTGTCCCATTTTTCCGCCCTGGCAGCAGTAATAACACCCAAAGTCCCTTTTTGACTGGATAATCACATGGTGTGCATATCATTTGCCTCGCTCTCAATTACACATGATCTGTGTGTGCTCAGCTTTTCAGCTTTGCTCCCTTTTAAAGCGTCTTCGAGTAGAAAATCGCATGTGAGCCTCTTGTGGGAAATTAAACAACAACAACCCCCGAAGAGCAAAGCAAGGCCGGGTCCAAGGGATGGACATATATGAAAGAGACAATGCCGGAGTCCACTACACTTGGGGGAAAAAGTACTCCAAAATCAAGGATTAAATTCTTGATTGAAGATTGCTTCATCAGTAAAAGGTTTGACTTGAAGTGAATTAAAAATTTTGCTAAATATGACATTTTACTAAACAGTGTTCTGAAGAGTAACCTGACATAACTTTCTCTCCGACATCATAAAAATTCCAACTGTTTCTTTTAAGTAACCCAAAAATTAAATATTCCTCCGTTTCCACATTATTAAATGAGTATGTTGTTATTATTGCATAATTTGACCTTTAATTTCTGAAAGATATACCGCATTTCTTGCAGTTCATGAATTGCTCATTACAGCAACAATAAAGGAAGGGGGACTGTGGCGTTTTTGCCAGCTTCTGATGACGCTGACACCCTTTGCTTCCGTCTCGAGCTCCCTTCTCGGTGTCCGTCAGCGTGGCGCACTTCAAAAACTTAACCGTTAGGCATATGCGTGATTATCTTTCCACTGCTGCCTCGGACGAGAACAACGACAACACGAACGGCAAGGGCGATGGGCGATGGGCGATGGGCGGTGGGCGATGGTAGGCAAGAGGTAGGAGGCAGCAACCCTCAGAGGCAACAATTGCGCGCTGACCCAGTTACCCGGCAACAAAGGCGGAAGCAAAGGAAACGGGCTGAAAGAGAGACAAGGAGGGGCTGGAAAGGCACATGTCATCATAGAAATCAGTGAGTGCCCAGAAAACTGCCCACGCCCTCCGGCAATGGGGCGTTGCTTATGAAGAGAGTGGAGGGGATGCAGATCTGAAGGGCGGAGGAGGAGGTGGTGGCGCTGGGAAAATTCATTAAAATGGCACAGAGGCGAGACAACAATGAAACGGTCCACTTGGGTTCCTGCTTTCTGCTCCCGCTCCTGCTCCCTTCAGGAAAGTGGACAGCAGCTTATCGTCCTGGCCATATGTGCCACACACTCATACACACACGCGGAGGGGAAAAGGGCGCACACACATACAGTTACTAATCAAATATTTAGCATACTTTTTAGAAAGCATATTAAAATAACATTTCCGGTCAGCTTGGCAAAAAGGAAATCGTCGCACAGTCCGAACCCAAGCGGCAGCGGAGGGCATTAGCCCGACTTTCTGAACCGTGTAATGCACACTGGCACACACACACACTGGGAAGGATATCCCGTTGAGAACCGGCAAATCCCTGTAGCATGCCAGGCAGCCGGCACTTGGGGAGCGTTAATGTGCCATAACGAATGCATTAGAGACTCGTACTAAGTAAGCGCAGTTAGTTGGCAACCCTTTCGTGGGCCGGCGGGGTGGTGAGCGGAAGGGCATTTAAAATTTAATTACCCACTACAGAGGTCTAGAAAGCCACCCTCGAAAAGGAAACCAATATGCATTACCCTAATAAAGTCCACTGGAAAAGAAGCCCCAAAAAAGTATGCTACTGCTTTTTTGGGCGGCAAAAAGTATGCTACAGAACATATGTTGAACACAATGCACAACAACAACATGAGTGAGCAGCTTCTGCTGATATCATTACTCAGCCCACACGCACACTCCCACAAAGGCTGACACGCACACAGTCAGATGGCGAGCTTCCGCTTTCGTTTTTTCGCTGTCGTTTTTTGTGTGTGATATTATCAAGTGAAGTGCTTTTGCGGTTTTCGCCGCTCTTTGTCTATTGCACAGCGTACCCTCTCCCCTCCCTCTCCTCACCCTCACGTGTGTGTGTGTGCGCTTTGGCTTTTCTTATTATTCCTATTACCACATGTTGTTTTTGTATTTAAGCTAATTCCTTTATGTGTGCGGCTATGGATGTATATAAAACGTGCAGCCACATAAAAATAAAAACCCCAGCAACAAATAGCAAATAACAAATAAGGCACAACAAAAGCAAAAGCCAGCAGGCAAAAAGCAAATAAGCCAAAAGCAAAGCAAAAGCGAAAGCGCGCAGCATGATAAGCCAAGTGGCGAATTCAAGCGTAGTCAGCATTGATAGCTGATGATGGGATGGGCGTGGAGATGGAGGTGGGGGGCATAAAGGTGCCTACTTCACACAAAATTACCCTTTTCAATTTGTGCGGTGTGCAGAGTGTTCCCCCAGCAATTCCCCTCTCCCCATCGCCAGCTCCCGTTTATTGACTTTTTGTCATTGCCGCTAATGCATAGCAGCAGAAACTGAACAAACACTCCCACCCACTCACACAGAGGCACGGCCCCAACACACGCATCCTGCTTAGCACGATACAGTCAGCATCAACAGTAGCAGTAGCTGAAGCTGTAGCAGCTTTATTTTTATGGGGCGCATTACATTTAATGTTTGGCTTAACTCGGTTACTCTCGATGCTCTCTGGGAATCCGACTTCGACTCTGCTACCGGTTCTGATTCCCACACTGCAAGAAAATGGGCAACTGTCTAAGACATAGTGGATAAAACCAAACAAACAGCTTTTATATTACATGCAGAATTATTGGATGCCTGATATTTCGTTATACCTTTACGAAATAAGAATAAATTATAATAACAATAATGATGGTTAACTTGAAAGTTCGGCAAGTCTACAACGCGTTCCCCAGTGTACGCTTGCCTCGATGGCTGCTGCTGTGCTTCAACTTCCGCTTCTGGTTTTGGCTTCGACTCTTTGTGTGAGTGCGGTAATTAAGTGTCACATGTAATTACAATACACTCATGTGCTTTGTAATTAGAGTTTAGCGCTGCAATAAAGCAGGAAAAAAGCAAACTGAAAGCAGAAACAGGACCCACAATGCGCAAGCTGCTTAGTGGCTAATTCAAATGAATATTTTCCCCGAGCTGTGCAATTATTTGCACTACTTTTTTTCGGGGTAACCAAATGGGAACGAGTGGATTTAATTTTGATGAAGCCGCGGCTCTGGCAACTGCTCTGGTGGCTCTGGTCAGTAAATAGCTAAGCTAACACTGGATAATGATTAACTGCAGTCCGCTTGCCACAATAATTTCCACTTACCCACTTTTCTTGTTGACTTTAACCAAACTGGAGAACCGAACCTAAACAAAATCCGAGAGCTATGCAAATGCTCTGCAAAGTGGGCGGGAAGTGGGGCTGAAGAATCGCTGTAATTTATTTAACTTGCGTAAATATCAAATATTTATATTGTTCTCTCTCTCTTTTATTTTCTCTTTTTATGTACCGTACTCGTATACGTATATATATACTTCATCTACTACAACTACACACCACTACTACTGAAAATAAACCATCTTCAACTTCTGTCTGTGCCTGCCCTGCCGCCTGTGCATCAACTACAAAATATAAAAATATATTAACCAACTGCCTGTGCCTGTGCCTACCTGCTCCTGCATCTGAATCTGCTCCTGCTCCTGCATCTGCATCTGAATCTGAAACTGAAACTGCTCCCGCATCCACATCCGCACCTGTGCCCGTAACTGTGTAACTGTAAATCAGCGCGGAAGCGACGAACTTTTGAGTCAAGCAGCAGTCATGGCGCCCGCTTCCGACAATAACAATCAGGACCTGGCCACAAAGAAGGCCAAGCTGGAGCCGGGCACCGTGCTGGCCGGCGGAATTGGTAAGTCTTCTGTGCCCTACTCTTCCATCTATCTCTGTCTATCCTCCCTATCTGCCTCTCTCTCTCCGGCTCTACCTTTACCTTTGCATTTGCCCTTGCTTTGCCTTTTGTCTTGGCTTAAGCCCTGCCTTTTGCCTCTGTCGTCCCCTGAGCGGCGCTCAAGTTAAGTGCATTTTGCAGCCATAGTCTTGGGCCCAGTTGGTTTTGTCTGCCAATTAACCGCGCCCACAGGGACAGTGCTCAACACGGGCAAAAAAGTATATTTAAGCTTGTGTAATATAAGTAGCTTCAGTAAATTATCAACGATCGTCAGCTCAGCGAATAGTATTTTATAGATCCGACGATCCAAATAATGGTGCAAGTTGCATGTTGTATGTTGCATGTTCAATGTTACTGTTAATTGTTGTTTGTTCTAAACAAAACAACATTCAGCAAACATGCAGCATTCAACATCCAAAAACCAACATGCTACAATTGATGTGCAACAATCAATATGTATATAAAACATATAATGTTCATCATACAACTTGCAACTAACAACATAGAAAATATTGAATGTTTGATATTGTTAAACAAAAGTAAATGTAGATTTACAATTGTCCACGTCATTTATAATATTAATTACAACTGTCCCGTCATTTAAATATTAGTTACAACTGGCCACGTCATTTATAATATTAGTTACAATGGCCACGTCATCCCTAGTAATATTACCATTTGCACGTCATCGATAATCTAATTAAAACTTATAATTCCCAATTAGTTCTACTAAAATGTAAGACCTTACAGCTATGACAGTCGATTAATCAGTTGACCGGAAGTTCCCGCTAAGGAACTACTAGTTCCAACGATAATGTGTCGGTGATTGTGGGGTGATTCCTAGCTTCCCGAAATTATTTTTTTATAATTATGTTTAATAATTATCAAAGATCTTAAGTTCAGCAATTAGTGTTTATAGATCCGACGATCCAAATAATGTTGCAAATTGCATGTTGCATGTTGAATGTTATTACTAATTGTTGCCTGTTAAATGGGGCACATTGGTGGGTGTTCAGTGATTGGTGAACAAATCAACATTCAACAAACAACATTCAACATTCAGTATTCAACATCCACAACCAAAATACAACTTGCAAAATCTTAGTTCTACGATTTACAATTGCTATGCGACAATCAATATGTTAAATACAACATACAATGTTCACCACACAACTTGCAACTAACAACATAAAACATGTTGAATGTTTGATATTGTTAAACTTATGTAAATGAAGGTTTAGAATTGGCCACGTCGTTTATAATAATAATTACAATTGGCCACGTCATCCCCAATAATAATTACGAATGGCCACGTCACCGATTATTTTAATTAAAAACTTATAATTCCCAATTAGTTCTAGCTTAAAATTTATGACCTTAGAGCTATGACAGTCGATACATCTGTTGACTGGAAGTTCCCGCTGATGAACTAACTACTAGTTCCACCGATAACGTGTCGGTTATTGTTGGGTGATGACTGGCTTTCCAAAGTGAGCTTCTACTGTATTTATTTTTATTATTACAAAAAAATTTCCTCAACCGAACTTTTTTAAAACTCATTTTTTACCTCAACTTAAGTTAGTTTGTTTCTCTCGGTGTAGCATTAGGCTTAAGCCTTCAACTTGGCCACAAAGTCGCCGGGGCACTTGAGTACCCCAATTGAAGGCAAGCGCACTTTGATGCCTATAGCCAATTAACCTACTAATTAGCATGGAAAACAAGTCAACAGCGAAAACATTTGGCTTGGCCCTTTTGTGTTGCCTGAAAATTATTACGGGAAAAATGGTTCGCGTTCGTTTGCATTATGAGCGGCGTCCGCTGGCTGGCCACGCACTGTGTCGACACATTAATTAGCCGCCCAAACCCACCCACAGACACACACATACTCGGGCTGGCGGTACGAAGGCCACCCTGCATATGCCGCCGCAAAGTAATAAAGCTAATCAAAAACCGCACACCAACCCGACAAAACCAAACTGAAGCGAAACCAGCAGAATGAACCACACATTAGGCAAATATTTGACGGGCTCGCAGGATCCCTGCCAAAAGCTGAAACTGGATCTGAAAGCCGAAAACCGAAAGCCGAATACCTGCCCACAAAAATCCAGTGAGCCACAAAATGATTGCCAATGCAAACAAATCAATAGGCAACAATTTCCGCTGAAATTCAAAAGTAATCGACTGCTCCACCCGTCGATTGTGTTGCTTTTGTTTGGGCGAATTTAATTAACGCCATATGCAGGTGCTGGGCGTCGATATCCTTTTCGTGGGATTTTTCAAAATGCTTTTGCAATTTCGCCGTAATTAACAGCATTCACCGCCGCCAGCCACGTCGATGATAAGTATGAGTGGGTGTGTGCCACAAAGAGAAGGCTTGAGCATTAGCCGCCAGACAGTCAAAGGTCACGACAGGAGATGGGTGGACGTAGGACGTTGGACGAAGGACGAAGGACGGGCGTTGCGGAAGGATCGGCAGCCTGTGAATGGCAATCGACTGAGAGCGAAAAAATGTACGCAAAAGCGGAAGCATAATATTTATTTATTACTTTACAAAGGACTTTTCTATTAATTAAAAAGCAACAAGCACAGACACCCGCACACACGCACAGAGAGAAAGGCAGTTAGCGGGTCGCCTTTCACCTTTCACCCTTCTGCCTTTTGCCATTGTTCGATGGACGACACAGACGACCACTTTGACCCAACGGCATTTTGGTGGCCCAAACACCCACCTCCCCTTTTTTGACACCTGCCACCTGCGGCCATTTTAATTTTCCACGCAAAGTTCTTGTGCAAACACACACACGCACACACTCAGAGGCAGCTTTTTGTCCTGCTCCATTAAAGTCGCGCTTAAAGGAAGCAGGGTATTCGGTGGGACAGGGAAGGTGCCGGAAACCCAACGAATTCATTCCTGTGGTCGCCACTTAAAGCCCTCTCCTCGCACACAAAGGCAGAGACCACGCCGATGATGCCAAAAATAATAACAAAAGGAATTGCTAAATAAATGTGTAAGGACACTTTTATTGCACTGCAAGCACCAATACATGTTGGAGGGCTCAGGAGTGACAGAGAGCACAACAAAGGGCAGACAAGTAAATAGCAAAAATCCAAAAAGCAACAATGAGCATTGTGTTCCTCTGTGGTCGAGCCTTAGATAAACACACGCACTCGGCTCAATCGTATCCGTGCGCCACTAAACCAATACATCGATGGCGGCTCTCGCACACACTCACGCTCTCGTTTCCGTTACAAGAGCTTAGCAGGACATGCAACAAATTTTTCACGTAAATGTAATAAAAACACTTTGGCATGTGCAGCGCGTAGTGGGTGGAGGGACGGAACTCCTGGAAGCAAGGAGGGAGAGGCGGCGCCACGCCCACCCACTTGAACTGAGTGGCTCGTATTTCCGTGTATTGGTGGGTGGGTGAGTGCGTGATGTGGGTGAACGAAGAACACACACTTAAAGCCAGTGGACTCCTGCTAAACTCAGTCTCAGAAGTTAGGTCCCTTTCGGTACGAATTTTGGTTGGCTAATAAATAGTTTCGCTTGGTTTATTCGATTTTTTATTAGGAATATTTTATGCCAGGTATACGAGACCCCAGAGAGTTGAACGGTAGCATTTACTTCCTAGAGCCACAGGGAGAAAAATTAAAAGAGCTTAAAAACATTGACCTGAAAATCAAAATTATTTTAAAAAATAGTAAACCGAAGAATATTATTAACAATAAATTGTTTTGTAACATTGAAAAGAAAATACATTATTTTTGTTTAAGATAAGCATGGCGTTAATAGTCATGGAATAAAGTTTATTATTTACCACAATCACAATTACCGCCAAAATGACGAATCGATTAGCCAACTTTTTTTTAAACTTTTTTCCGTGTGTAGACCATAGCGTGGCCATGTCGCGTGTCCGGCTGAAACATCAAGCGTGGCCAGACCGTGTTTTGCTTTTGTTGTCGCCACACTCGCCCACTCCCCGCCGATTCAGTTTGTTGTTTATTGTTACAGCTCTCACACATGCATCGCCTCCACGCTGTTTGTATAGTCCACCAACATTTGTTTGTTTATTGACCGATTTTGGGGGCTTAATGGTCAGCTCACCACCTATGGCTCCTAGCTGCTACGGCCGAAAAAAAGAGTTCCGCAGCTGTTGCCGCTGCGTGTGCACTGTGTTTTTTCTCCGGCTCTTAGCATTGCTAATTCCCTGGCCAGACATCCAGCGGCAGCAGCGAAAATATGCTGAAAAAATATCTAAAATTTGTATATCCAGTGTTCTGTTTTCATTATGCATGACCGGTCATCCCTTAAGCCTTAAATCAGCCCGCCACGGCCATCAATTTAAAGCTCAAGTGCGTTGCTGTCAGCGCAGCAGTTCGATGGCCAATCCCTTCGGTGGTCTGGTCAAACACTTAAACGCCTTTATGGCCATAACCAATAAGGCGACAGTTTGGCAGACGGCAAGTGTCCGTGTCCGTGTGCGCGTCCTTCGTGTCCTGTGAATCCTGCGCGTGCCGCCTTGGCTCGGGTATCATTCGCACGTCCCTGAGTCTGCTTCCTGATCTACGCGTTGCGTGTAAATATTTTCGCAGTCAATAAAATAATATTGTCATAATTTTTTCTGCTTCCTCTGCCATCTGTATCAATATTGAGACACCATTGAAAGGAGTGTAAAAATCCGGCCAGACCAAAAGCAAACACCAATTGTCAACTGGTTTGACTCGCTGGCTGGATGGTTGGCTGGTTGGCGTTGTGTGCCACTATTTATGGCAGTCACTGTACGTGAGTGCGGTTAGTGGCAGCGGACTTTCAGGCAGGACTCGGCCTGACTTCTGACTTCCCTGCCACTGTGTGAGTGACTGTGGGAAACTGCGAAATATTTGTGTGTGCCATTTAATTAAGCATACGACCCGTTGCAGGCCTGGCCCGGCTTCCTGCTGCTGTGTGCGTAGTTTTAATGCACAAATGAAGTGGAAAAAGTTTTGCCAGGGCCAACAAACCGAAGCTTCCTCGTTCCTCTGTGTTTGCTCATAACTTAAACAATTGATATACTTCCTGAACTTCTAACCAGCTCCCAAGTGAAATCGCACTAAAAAAAATTCTTTAATCCTGTTTCATAACAAAATGGTCTAGTTTAGCTAAAGGAAAAACTAATAAGACTTAAAACAAAACCTGCATTGTAATTTAAAATTTAAACCAACAGTGCTCCCAGTGTCCTAAATTAAAATCCGATCATAGCCCCTCGAGTTTTTGTACTTAAAAACTATATTTTCCAACGTGCAGTCTCAGTCTGGTCCTGGCTGTCGGCTGTTTGACTGAATACCACTTGACTGCACACAGACATGAAGTCCTCGGTTCTCTAGACTGCATCCTGCAGCCAGCTAACTGCCACTGCAGTTCCAGGCTTCAACTCGGGGCAGAACGAGATGGATGTGTGGGCGGCTGGGATGGGGCAGATGGCGAAAAAAACTATTTTCGTAATTGAATTGCAATTAAAATTTGTAAACGTCGTCGTCGCCATCGCTCGGGCTGTTCAAACCTGACTGCGTACGTTGACTCCTTGCATTCGCATTCACTTGGCAGAAGCACCAGCCACACCCACCTCTCCTCCCTGACAAATTTTTAATGAATTACATTTCTTGCGGGTGTTAGGCCCGAGCTGCAAAGGAAAATCGTTATTTTCAATTATGGCCCAGTCTCGTGTCGGGGGACTCAGCTGAAATGCAAAAGGCACCGGGCCGCTGGCATTGGGTTTCATTTGCTGCCAAAAAATTGTGCCATGATTGATTATGCGTGGGCAAATGTTTAAATTAAAGACAAGCCCGGCCGACTGAGCAAATATCATTAAGTCGTTGTTCACACAGAGGCACAGCGACGGAGGAGGCAGAGCGACAGACACGTAAAGGACACAAGTTTGCCCAACAATTTAAAATTTATGATGTGTGAGCTTGTAAAAATCTAATTTACTGTCGCATAATTAAAGACGCTCGAACGGCTCTGTGTGCGTGAGCTGAGCGAGTATTTATACAAATTATATATTCGACTGTTGACACACCCTTGGCAAAGTTTGGGGGCGGAACTCAGAGACAAACACTGGCGTCACGCTCACATTAAATCATTAAATGCCGCCATGTAAGCATAAATTTAATTGTTATTAACAATCAGCACTTATTTCATCCGGAGGGCCACGCCCCCCGCCCCTGGGGAAAGCCCTTTTCTTTTGTTCGACTCGCTTTTTCCATCCATTTTCATTTACATTTTTCGTTTGGGGCTTCTGTTTGCTTTATGAATTTAAATTGTCATTAATTAACTTGGTGCGCAGCACTGTGGTGGTAAGGAGGGGCGAGCGGAATTATTACACATACGCCACGCTGGTCAGACTGACCATTCATTGCGGCCCAACCATCGTCGTCCGAACTCAATTACAGTTTGTAAACTTTTCAATTAGCTATAAATAGTTTATTTATGTATATTTTCGTGCAACTCATGGTGAGTGGTGAGAGCGTGTGTGTTTAATTGAAAACAGCAGGCTGGGCAGGAGGGCACTTTCCCGCTTTTCGCACAGTGTGTGTGAGGGTCATTAATACTGCTGAGCTTTGGCCCCACGTCCTTGCAGCTCATTTTAACGCGCAGCCGAGCGGATGATTGCTATTCATATCATCCATGGGGCATTGACAGTCAACAGGCAGCCCCTGCGTCATCATTATCGAATGCAAATTTTATCGCTGCACTTTTTTCAGCCACTGCAGTTAATGCATTTCGGGTCTTGTTGATTTAGCATTGTACCATAATTATCCCAGAGTATCAGTGTGCCGGTGAAGAAGCTCTCGAGCTCTGCAGCAGCTGTTTTTAAACTCGTGATTAATTTGGAGTCCGCCGCAAATTGCAATTATTGTTTGCTGCGCAAATATTTGCGGGTTCGGGTTATTTAACTCGCTGTTAATTAAAAAGCAGCAATGCCATAACTGCTAACAAATCCGATCGCAGGCCACGAACCACGAACCACGAACCTCGAACACCTAACCCCCAACTCCGAACCGAAGCAGCCTGATTCAAATTGCAATTTTTTGCAAGTTCAGTAGGAGCTGTAGCTGCCGGGCTTCTGGCTATGTTTCCGGTTGTCGTCAGCGCTCGGCGCCATCTTCCTTTTCAATTATGCCGCCCGCCTTTGTTGGAGCTGTGCAGCAGCCGAGGGCTCCGGCAGTTGCAACGCTTGTCGATTTGGCCATTGTTGCACTGGCATCTCTCGTTCTCTCGTTTTCACACCATCAGGCAGCGTGTTCGCTGCGATTTGAAACAAATGTAGCAAAAGGAGAAAAGCAAGTGCTGCGAAACCGAATTGAGTTGTTGGCAGCCGAACGTCAAAAAATCCACAAATTTCGCCAGTTTTTCCCCCGGTTCGTCGACAACGTCATCATACATGATAGATACCTTTACATATTTTCGCCGTCGACGTTTTTTCCGGCAACTGGCCAACGGCACTTGATTTGTTGTTTGTCTTGTGCAGAACATTTCCGGCCCGCGCGTCCGCCCCCACTTTTTATTTAGTTTCGATTCGCAGCAGTTTTCCCAGTCTTTTTCGATTTCGATTTCGGCTGTTATTTATGGAGAGTTGTGGGCCGGCAGAGTGATGGAGCAGATCTCATCGCCCCGCAGTTGCCCATTGATTTTTAATAAATTTTTGAGCTGCCGCTCGGTCGGCTGAATGCTCAACTATAACGACCGCACAGGTCCTGACCCGGCTGCATAATTTCGTTTCGGCTTCATTTCCGTTTCGAACTAATCAAAAAGTGTAATTTCCGATTAGTTGTATTCAGCATTGACCGGCAAGCAGGGAGAGTTCACAGAGTGCACTTCGAGTCCCGGGACTCGGGACTGGAGCCTCTCGAAGTGGCTCGACTTTTCCCTTTCGCAGGCACAAAGGTTGGTCGAAAGTGGGTTAGAGGAAGGACCGATTCAGGTCCTGTGGCGGTTTTCTAGCATTGTGAAATAAATCGGAACATTGACCCCCAGCGTCTGGGCTATGATTGAATGTGGGGAATTGGCCGGATAATGACCCTTTTACATTATGAGTTATGGGAGAAAGTTCGGGAGCCAACTATCAATTTATCTCAATCTTGGAAATTCGTTGCTGACGTGCTCAAGTGGCAGGGCAGGCAGTGGCCCAAATTCGATAAAATTATGAAATCATAGTTCGTTTTGGTTACTCTTAAATTTAAATGAAGGTGTACGCAGAATGGCTGCTTAGATTCAAAAATTGTTTGTTAAATTTCGCATTTCTATTTTTATTATTTTGGATACCCTATTTTTGTTCGGTTGAGCCCCGAGCTAAATTCGCTTTAAATTCGGGCATAATTAAAACGACAGATGGACTGCGTCCGGAACTCCAGACCACGTTCTCCCGTGGACTATCTCTGACCATGTGTCGGCTTGTTTAGCAAACACCAGAGTGTGTGAAAAGAGGAAGAGGGCAGGAGGCGACTGCATTTCATTTGCATATGAACAGCAAACTGTTCTCCTGCAGGTGCCACAGAAAATAAAAAGCGCACAAACCAACACATTAACAGGTGTTGACTAAGCGCCAGACAGATTCTAGCACTCCCCATTTCGTCCCGCAACTGCAGTTCCCCATAAAGAGTGGCAAATTTGTTTGCCTTTGTTTATAAAAATTTAAGGCACTCTTGGGGCAGTGCACAGGGTTCACTCAGCGAAAAAGTGTCTTTAAGAGTGGAGAACATTAAGTTGATAATTAGTTTTATTGAACTTTCAGTGCCTATTATCTATCGTAAAGAAAACTTCTGATGTGTCATTTAAAATTTGGACACGTTGTGTTTTGAAAGCGGCTTCAGATATAACACCTTTCGCTCAGTGCTGTTGCAGGGATATCCCCGAAATGTGGCTGCAATCGCTTCCAGGGCCAAAGGCAGCCTAAATCCCATTTGTGCTGCACCACTTGGGGGGAGTGGCGGTGGGTGGGGCGCTTTATTTATGCAAAAATAACAAACAAGTAGCCGGCGAGGAGAGGCGACAGCAAAAGCAGAGAAGCTGCAAAAACGACGAAGAGTGCCTAAAAGCCTCAAACGTTGTCTGTGCGCCGGACATTGTCGCCGTGTTGCTGCTGGATTATTCACAGCCGTTGAAAGTGTGCAATGAATGAATTTATGGCGGTGCCACTCCCCTTCCGCCCCCGGAGCGGGTTTAACTGTGCAAAGTGTATACAAATGTGGCGGCGCTTGGCCATGTTATCAACATTTTTATTTGCGTCCTCCCACTCTCCTTTGGCAACAAAGCGGGCAACAAATAAAACCCAAAAATAAACAAATTAAGTGGAGCGCGGAAGCGGAAGTGCAGACAGCGCTGGCCATTAAGTGAACCGGAGATGGGCCCCAAAAGAGACGGGGATGTTGCAGCAGAGGCAGACAGAGACAGAGACAGATAAAGAGAGAGAGGAGAGGCCCTTAGGGACTGTCACCTGTTTAATATTTCAATCGCTTAAACAACGTATGCTTATTTTCCCCTATTTTTCCTTGCAGCCAAGGCCTCCAAAGTCATCCACTTGCGCAACATTCCAAACGAGTCCGGCGAGTCGGATGTGATTGCCCTGGGCATTCCGTTCGGACGTGTGACCAACGTGCTGGTGCTTAAGGGCAAGAACCAGGCGTTCATAGAGATGGCCGACGAGATCTCCGCCACGTCGATGGTGTCCTGCTACACAGTCAATCCGCCCCAGATGCGCGGCCGCATGGTCTACGTGCAGTTCTCCAACCATCGCGAGCTGAAGACGGACCAGAGTCACAACGTGAGTAACAATATTTAATAATTATTTATAAGCACTTAAAGCTCTCTTGTAATTCGGTTCAACTATTCTTAAAAATCCGCTAGACGGATAATTATAACAAGTGATATTTTGAGGGCGTCTCTGGATTTTAGCTATAAATCGTAGCACTCTTTATCCTTTAAACAGAACACTGTTGTACATAATAAACACAAGCCAAATCTGTTGTAGTTCTAATATCCAATCATCGAAGAGACAAACTTTCCCTCGAAAATTGCCATGGCCCTCTAACCGATATCTGCTTTTGGCACAACTTCCGGTCTTAAGTGTTATTAATGTGGCAATTAAGTTTTCGGCCAGGGGAAACAAATGAAGCGACTACGATTTATATGCAAATGTGGGTCGACCCGGCGAACCGTCTGATTAATTACACTTTCTGGGCAACATAAGCCCGCTCCTCAAGAGATTTGGACCCGTCATAAATGCACACACACTCGAATGTCCTTTGAGAGCGCGCCTGTATTTGTGGGTGCTCTAAACCAATTTCTAATTTTAATTTCGTAAGCCACAAAGTCACTGACAAAGTTTAAAAAGCTTTCAAATAAATACACATGGCCGCGCACACACTACCACACACACACACGTGTCTGACAAAAGCAGTAAAATGCATAGTTTTTGGGGTTTTGCGGATAGCCCACACAGAGAAATTCTGAGCAAGGAAGCGGGGCATTGCGGGGGCGAACATAAATACAAATGAAACCGCACGCATACCAAGGAGACAAACGAATCAGGAGACCAGCACAGGATGCCAGCTGCTTAGCTCGGAGTCAAAAGCATATTTTGATTACTTAAATGAAAGTGGAGGGGTGGTGGGTTGGTGGGAAGGTTGAAAGGTTGGTCTGAGGGGCAAAGGGGCGAAGGCGACCGCAGCGGCAGTAAGAACAGCAACAATCGGGTCAGGAGGAAACCCAAAGCGAGGTTGTCACCTGTGCGGGGGTGTGTGCCACCTGATGGTGGAGGATTTGGTGGTGGTGAGCCCAAAAGCAAACTACTTAAAAAGAGATCGCAACGCCAGCAGCAGCACGGGCAACACGAAAGCACGAGCCACAACGAAAAAAAGGTTAAGAGGCTGCAGCAACAGCAGAAACAGCAACACGAGGGCCAAAACAAGAAGCAGACCAAGGGAGCGGGCCTGTGACTTAGGTGACACAGCAGCAACAATGGCAGCAACAACGGCAACACAGCTAGGCCAAACAATACAGTTACATTTCACTGATTACCTTTTGGCTGTGGCCCCAGCCCGTGTGTGTATCTCTGCATCCATCTCTGTGTGCGTGGGCAGATTTCTCTTGTTAACTACTAATCCTGGTAAAAGGCCTTGTTGTTGGCCCGCAGACAACGTGAGACAAGTCAGACGAGTGGAAAAGTCAACGCCGCCGCTTTCTCTAGTGGAAAATCTCTTAAAATGCAGGAGAGTGTGTTTGTGCGAGTGGAAGAGGTTTAATCTTGTGTGCTGTGCGCTGCCAACATATTTATACAATTTCTCATTTCATTCAGCCTGCTTTCTTCTGGCCATGTCCATTGTGCGAATGTCTTGTCTTGGGTTTCCCCAGTTGCTGCTCCTCCCTTTTGTGTCCTGTGTGTCTGGCGGCCCACCTGTGCAGCATTCAGTTGATTGTTTGGCGTCCTGGCCCAGCCACTGTTGACTGTTCCTTTATTTCTGCGTTTTGCGTCATATTTCGCCGCCTGTCATTTGCTATTTGTGTTGCTGCTGTCGCAGCTTTTGCCGCTGTTGCTGCTGCTGCAGCAATGTGGCAAGCTTCAGATAAGATGCTTAGCGAATTGTTGTCGGCGCCACGGCAGCAGCGAAACTTAAGAAATCATGTGAGTAGAAGCCGGAGCCGGAGACGTTTGCTGTCAAGTGCGGGTCTGTGCAATTGCAGGAGAAGAGTCTTTTTTAATTCCCTCGTTAGTTGGGCATTTCCGTAAATTTCGAATTTTCGTCAATTTCCTGTTGGCAAAGCTTGTTCTGTGCTTTAAACTCGGGAGAGATGGGAGGGGAAATTCTATTTCATCTCCACCGAGCGAGAGACAAATCCATTGCATGGCCCTCGGGGATTTTAACCCCAGCAGAGGAGGCGACACGCACCTGAAGGCAAAAGCTGCGACGACAGCAGCAGCAGCAAATCAGCAATACAGGATTTCCAAATCATCTCCCCCGCCCTCACACACTCACACACACACACACTCAGAAACGGAGACATCTAGTCGCACACATGTGTGATTTCAACGGCTGAGTGATTGCATGGTATAGAAAATAAAACAAATAGGAGGGAAAACCAAGCAACAGAAATGAAAAATCCCGTAGCATACTTTGCTGCGATATCACCACCCAACTTTCCCCGCCCCTCTGACATTTATGTTGGCAATTTGGCAGTCAACCGGCAACGCTGCTGTTGCTGCTGCGTAACAGGATTCTAATATGTCATGTCGTTGGGATGTCCTTTCACCTTTGCGTTGCTCCTCCTCCATCCGGATAGCTCTGTTTCTATTTCAGCTCCGGCTTCTGGTTTTCTGTGACTATTTTCGTTGATGTCTTACTCTGGCGTCTTAGGGCTCCCCTCCAGACTTCTGCTCCTGTGCTGCGGCGACCCTTGACTACGATGCCAGAAATGAAGATAAATGCACTGGCAAGTTCACGCGGTTACGACCGCAAAGAGCTGCCCACGGAACCCAAGAGCCACTCAGCCACCCAGTAACCCTACATAGCAATCCAAAAATCCAACCCCAAAGGTCGGCAACTGGCATTGTTTAGTGGGTTTCAAATTTGACATGTGATTGTTCTGTGTGTGTAACTGCGAGGCCCCATCTGTTGCCTCTGCGGGCCAGTTTTGTTTTGGGTAATTTTGATAAATTAATTTTTGAGCCTGGCCTCTTTTACGGCCGAAAAGGGTTGACAGCCACTCGGGGAAATGGGGCCGGCCCACGGCCCACAAAGAATTAGATTGAAATATAATTTCGCAACAAAAGGCAGCCAATCCCTGGCCTAATCTCCAGTGTAACATTTGCCAGCGCCCTCCGCTGCCACTCTGGCTTCATTAGATGCGCACAATTGATTAATCGTTGCATGCACAGTGAATATGGCTTCCATTCGAGTCTCACCTCAGCGGGAGTCGCGCGTTCAAGTGCGAACGCAAATTCGGGTAATCATCATAATTGGCACTCGCCGCCAAAACACCAAAACAGCCCAACGGGAAAAGGACAATGGAGCCGAGTCAAGAGCCGGTCCACTGCAGCCCATTGAATGCGCTCCACTCTGCAGCAGCCAAACAAGTAGCAGACACTTCCCAAAAAAAGTAATTAATTTGAAGAGTGCCTTGCGAAAATCGAAAACCAATCATTCGAACCCTTGTTGAATTGAAATTATTTTATTGAAGAAAACTCACTCCTGTCGCAGTTATTCACTCACATATGATGAGAACATCTTAGTTAAAGAGCCGTACCGTTTTACTAGAGCTATTTTCTCACAGTGCACATGCAAATGCATTTCCCAAGCGCTTGTTTTCATGTGTTTGCACTCGACTGAGTGTGTGTGGGCAGGTGCTCGTTTTCCCTGCAGTGATAAGGTTACCTTGTAATTAAATTAAATTGCCGACTACAGAGAGAGCCGCATTTTAAGGACGCCTCCTTCAAACCAAACAATGCCGAGTCGGCCAAGAAAAACACAAAAGGAGGCAAGTGACGGACAGCAATTGTCAATTAATGGCTCACACATGAAAATTAGGCGGCAGCACGAAGTGGGATTAATTCACACCGCCTTTGACACCTGGTGGAAGTCCGGCAGGACGAGGCGGAGGACGTGGAACTAATACAAATGTCAAGCGATTAAGCCACAGAAAGGATCAAACTGATTAGCAAAGTCTTATTCGTGATGTCTGAGGCCCGCATGTCTATAAATAACAGGCCAACGGGGATAAGGCCGTACATTTGATTTGGTGTTAATAATATGAGCCTGGCTCAGCGACACAGACCTCAATGTGTTATTTAATTTGCGCCTCCTGCTGACAGGCTGTCAATACTGCGGGGGGTGGAAAGGCGGGGAGTGCGGAAAACCAGCTTATGGGGCCTTTTCTTTCGGCACGCTATTTGTCTAACTCTCAGGCGTGTGCAGTAAAGGATTTTGCCCAGGCAAATAACTTCGCATATGCGGTGCTATCCGCCGAATGCTATCTGCTCAATGTTTGTTTTTCTATGCGCTGCCTGCTTGTGTTTTTCTTTGCTGTTTTCCTGTTTTCCCATTTTATTTTCACGTTTACTTTGCCGCCCGCCCGACCGCTCATCGCTCTTCGTCGCCGTCGCCGGCGCCATCGAAGGCAAAAGCAAAAGTAAGCTAATCTTATTGTTTTCACAACAGCGCCGAGAAGCAGGAGCATCGCGAATGTGGCTGTGCCTTCTGCTCCTGATCCTTTGAGTTATGCGGATGCGAATGTTTGCTTATACTTGTGCCACGCTAAAGCTTTTTGCCATTTTGATTGGCGACGTGTTGAAAATGGATTTAAATTACATTGTTTCGCAGTACGTGAGATCCGAGTGGAGTGGAGGAGCAAATGGGGGCTGAGCGCGGCAGGATAACAACTGCGAAACTGTCGACAACCCGGAGAAGCCAGAAACCCCAAAAAACTGACAACTGACAACTTTATGTATGCACTGACTTTTCCAGCGGCTGTGTCAATATTTTCATTGTATTGATTAGTTTTGCATTACGGCTGCCCGAAAGTGGCTTTCCCCTTTCCCACTTTGTTTTCGCAGGCGTATTTACTTTTGTTTTTTGGCCAGCGGATTTTGCTACTTTGCGTAACTCGTATTTATTTAAGCCGCTCGGTTTTATAGTCCTATTTGTGGAATATATTTTGCCGAAGGCTTTTAACACACTTGACGTGGTTGCTATTTTTGTTTGCCCTTTGCATAAATAAGACAAATATGGTTTCTTGGCACTGAAACCGCTGCTCCCCCTCCTTGGACTTTGAGAAACTTCTCCTCTTTGGCTTGACCGTAAAAACCACGCAGCAGATAAACGACTCACGGCAAAGTAATACATAATCCCGAGCTCAGCTTTAAAACTTAACTACACAAGTTCATAACTTGTAGTGGTAGTTGCCCAAAAAAGTTTCCATCTTCCAGTTGCAAAGGCACCAAAAAAGGCAGCTCCTCCTGGCCAATGGAAAGGGGATCGGGGCTCCGGCGGAGATTGTGGCCAAGCATCTATAGCTGCTTTACTTTCCAACTTGGCCCGAACACTTAAGCCCTCGCTTCAGCCGGCTCTTGAAAAGGGGCGACGACACTTGAGTCCTCCTGCTGCTCGAAAGGACTCGCCATGCAGTTTAAAGTGTGCCTGTCAGGGGAGGGGAAGCCAAGGTACTCAGTGTGACATTGCAATGAAAATAAACTTCCTGCCCGCAAGAAAAAGGAGCAGCACACGAAAGCGCTATGAAACAAAAATATTTATGCAAAACCTTAAGTGAAAGCAACGTCAATATTTTTTGGCGTCTTTAGAGCTGCGGTTCCAGCCCTGAGCTTTCGCCTTTTGTCCGCCATTTTCCGGGTTTATTTCTTATGCAAAAACCGCATCAAAATCATAAAACAATTGCCGAGTTCTTTTCCGCTTGTTGAATATTGCAAAACTTTGCTGAGAACTCCTTTTAGCGAGCTGCGAAGTATCAGATTTTCGCTATACTTTTTGTTTGTTCCATGTGGAGACTTTGCCTGACGCACCGAAATCTCAACGTGGCCGCCATAGTTTTCCCGGGAATCCTTGAGTATTCACAAGCTTAGAGGCGAAATCTCCGTTAAAGTTTCCCTATTATGGTTTTCACATCGCATGAGTTAAATGGCCGAGAAGCGGGGACACGTGTGTCTTTTGTCCAGATTTTCCCACTGACAAGCATCGATCGATAAATGTGCTTATCAGCAAGTAGTCGATACATTTCGCTTATCAAAGCATTTTGGCTTATCAAATGTGGCATTATGCAGGGCGGGAGGGAAGAGCAGCCAACCCATCGATATTAAATTATAACAATGTGGTGGGGTGGTTCCCTATGATGGGTGGGCTGGTTGTTTGCATATCTAATCAGCCCACAACAACAGTCGGGGAGGGGAACGCACAATTGACTCATTAACAGGCAAAACCGCGACAAGCAAAGTCCAATACAAACACAGCCGCACACACACAACGATTTGTTATGTTTAATGATGTTGCTGGTTGTGGTCCCTAAACTTTCCCCATCCCCTTCCCAGTGCCCGCCCTGTGTCCTGCAGGATAATTAGAATGGCTTAGCCTAATATGCGTGCAAGTGCTCCCAAAATTTGGTTTGGCTTAGAGCCTCCAACTGTGAATGCCCATTATTATGGGCCTTATATGCACTCGGGAAATTACCAGCCAAAAGATACTTACTTAATTGAATAGAAAAGCAATTATTTTAATGTATTTTTGTTTTTTATTTTCAAACTGAATGTTAGAATCCTCTTTTATGTTTAGTCTATATGGTCTGTAAGTTAATCTCTGCTCTAAACTGACATTAAAATCGGGGATTAAGCTTTCCGCTTAGTGAAGATTCCAATAAATCCCAGTCCAGCTGGCAAGTTAGTTACTCAAGTGTCAGTGCAAACTTATGCACAATTATGAAACTGCTTAAACGCCTGCCAATAGCGCACTTGACAGCTAGTTAATGCTAACCAACTTTGGTGTTTAAACAAACCCAGCAGAGGAAGCCGGATAGCGTGAGTAATAGATGGGCAAACGCTTCTCAACAATTACATTACAATTTTTACACAATCAACGTCATCGTCATCATAATAATCAGGCAAAGTGAAGTATCAAATTACTGGCAGCGGAAAGGAAACCCAGCGACAGCCACTGATGGCATCCCACAGGCATCTGGAGCCAGCATGGCAATCGAAGACGAAGCCGCCGCATCATCATGGGCCACTGTGCTACTCATGCCACTCGGCACATCCCACATACGCCCTGTCTAGCCACGCAGCTCGGCACTCGGCAATTCTAATCAATTTTTATTATTTTTACAAACTTTGGCTTCGAGCGGAGGGTCGAAGACGGAGCTCACGTCGGCCGGGTCTTTGTTTCCGATGGGAAGGAATTTATCTAGGCGAAGGCAGAAGCAAATAGCACGCCTGGGGAGGATTGCCGTGAAGTTTTCCCATCCTAGTCCTCCCCGGTCTCTCCTGTTGCTGACAAACGCACAAAAAACGCGTCGCAAATGGGCAGGATAAGAGGAAATCGGGGCAGGTGGTTCGGTGGCGGTGGCGGTGGGCGGTCGAATGTGTTTACGTTATGATTTTCGAAATCAAAATTCAGCACGAATAGGAATAAATTTACTTCCGAATGTCATTAAATTGTTTTCCGATAGAACGTGTATATTTCACGCAAGAAGTTTTTGTTGCTCACTAAGAACCGTATCTGGCATCCGCCCAGCATCCTCGTCACCGGCAGACGCCGTTGCCTACCACCTCCCGTTTTCCTTTTATTATTACGATACTTGATATTATTGATTCTGATTGAGATTTATGTTGGCGAGGACGATTGCCAAACAGCACAGGAGACCGCTGAGTTTTTGACTGGCTGGCTGCCGTACAAACGTTTAGCATATTCGTGCACTCAAAAAAGGATTTGAATTAAAGGTTTTATTTTTAGATCCTCGTATATAAAATGTTGTCAATAAAATAAACATTTCGTATCTATAATACTTATTTTAGCAGATTTCTTGCAGTATACGAAATTATAGATAGTTTTTTAGCCCAAAACTCTACCAACATTTCTCTGAGTGGAAATGTCTTCTAGCCTTAAAAAAAACTTGCCAAGCTGCATAAATTTTGTGCACTGCCAGTTGCTTTGATTAATGCGCAAAAGTTTTCGCCTTTAACTAATAAAAGTTTCCTGCGCGCTTCCCCCAGTAAATTGGCCCAACATCTTTATCATGTTCCCTCCTCCTTCTGCTTCCAGAACTCGGTTGTCCAGAGCGACTACCGCATCCAGTCCCCGGCGGGCGGATCGCCCCTGCCCCTCTGCGCCGCCGCCAACGCGACCAGTAACAATGCCAACAGCTCCGGCGACAGCAACAGCAGTGCCGTGGGCATCTTGCAGAACAACACGAGCGCAGTGAACGCCGCCGGAAACAACACGAATTCGGCCGGAGGACCCAACACGGTGCTCCGTGTGATCGTGGAGTCGCTGATGTACCCCGTCTCGCTGGACATTCTGCACCAGATATTCCAGCGCTACGGCAAGGTGCTGAAGATCGTCACCTTCACGAAGAACAATTCATTCCAGGTGAGTTTCAGCTTGCGAGTAGGTCTTTTCTTTTCCTAATGGGAAAACCCCTTGCGTTTCAGGCGCTGATCCAATATCCGGACGCCAACTCCGCCCAGCACGCCAAGTCGCTCCTGGACGGGCAGAACATATACAACGGCTGCTGCACGCTGCGCATTGACAACAGCAAGCTGACGGCGCTGAATGTGAAGTACAACAACGACAAGTCTCGGGACTTCACGAACCCCGCGCTGCCACCAGGTGAACCGGGGGTGGACCTCATGCCCACCGCCGGAGGACTGATGAACACCAACGATCTGCTACTGATCGCCGCCCGGCAGCGGCCTTCTCTCACAGGTGATAAAATAGGTAACACGGACGGAACATTTTCCCGATTTTTCCTTTATGTTTTTCCTACGCTTCTTGTTGCTAACCACACAAACGCCATACAATTTCATACATGTCAGCCAGTGAAACAAATTTTTAAGTTTTCAAGAGATGTTTCGGGTCAATATTAAATTGTATATATTTCAATCTTATACATTGATTTTGTACCTTGAAGTATTATTTTTGCGTTTATGTTATCAAAAGCTAATTTCTTTGCCAAGATATTTTTGTGTAGCCTTACCAGTTTTTAAAAATCTAATAAACCAAATTAAATTGTAGGGCACTTGGCTTGAGTGTCTTTGATCTTCCTTTTAATATTGAGAACTCGGTTTTTGCATCACTGGAAATAACACACTTATACAAGAGAGTATTTTCCTACGCTATGCCTTGTTTTCAGTCTTTTTGCCTTTACACCTGCTATCGATTCAAATAGAGCTTAAGTGGCATGCAACTAATCGGAATCTCTCGGCATTGACAGATTGCTAACGCTTGTTCAATTTCCTTTCAGTCAACGGCCTGGGCGCCCCGGGAGTCCTGCCGCCCTTTGCCCTGGGCCTGGGCACTCCGCTGACCGGCGGGTACAGCAACGCCCTGCCCAACTTGGCCGCCTTCTCGCTGGCCAACAGCGGCGCCCTGCAGACAGCCGCTCCCGCTATGCGCGGATACTCGAATGTTCTGCTCGTCTCGAATTTAAATGAGGAGGTAAGTGCGCTACTATATTTTAAGGTTCTCTATAAGCTAGTGAGGCCTCACGTCCATGGTGGGGTGTTTAGAAAAGGAACCAACTTAAGACCTGATTATACCATATAAATTTACTATTATAAATATATGGTCTTTTAGGATGTGAATAAAGCGGCAAGAAATAACAAAACATCGCTATATTAATAAATTCCATCACCCATTTATTAACTTCTTATATTCAAGGTGTAAAATTAGTTTGCATTCCGTGTACGCCCACATTTTTCCATATGTTGCAAATTTTGTTCACACTTTTTTCGACCATTTATGAAAAGCGCTTTGATTTCTCGCCTCTCACCAAAGAATTTCATATTTTAATAACCATGTATTTGTACTCGTATTTGTGTAGTGCATCTGTTGACAGGCCTGGACTGAGAATCCCTCCCCTCCCTTTCCCCTTCCCTTTCCCACTACCTCTCTATCTCTTTCTCTGCGTCCCAGCCTGAAACCGAAACACAGTCTCCAGATCCATCACGTTCTATGATTTAATTTGATTATTTCCTGTTTAACGTTTACTTTGTTGTTTATTATTTGTAATACATCTGAAACGAATCTCTCGCTAACTGACGACAAACTCTATTTTCTCTTTTTCTCTGTAGATGGTCACGCCTGATGCTCTCTTTACCCTCTTTGGTACGTCTGCACAAATGATTACTCTATTAATTGCCAGTTCTTCCGATTTTATTTGTTTGTTGTCCGGGCCAAGCTAGAGGATGACCGTGGTGGAGAGATGCAGTATGCACTCCTCTGCGGACACATCTTATTCGTAGTTGATATCTGTCTCTATCGCTATCCGACTCCTGTTCTATCTCTCCCCCGAAGTAAAAGCGAATACCTATTGTCCCGTCTAGCTTTGCCCGGTCACAACGTGTCCCACATAAATTTACACTCCTTGAACAATTTATAAGTAGTTTACTTGATTATTCATTGAATTTACACTGTACGAATCGAGCGAGGCCAACGCTTTATCCTTTGCTCCGTGTAGCTGCTCTCCGTGTTCTCCTTTTATCCTCGCTTCCGGTTGGCATTTACGCCATTTACGTGCAATCAGCAAAAGTGCCGTGAATTATTTATCCCCCGGTATGTGATGGCGCCAGGGGAGCGGGGTGGGCTAACAAAGCAATAGCTGACAAAAATGCGGCACAAACTGTTTAAAATATTGAAAAGCCTTAAAAACGTGAGGGGGCATCTAGAAATTTGGGTATGCAACGGGCGCCTGGCAGTTTCCACATAAAATGCATCGCCATGTGGGAAATATAAAATAGAACCATCAAGCCGGATAGTAAAAGTCCTGGACCTCGTGCTGGAAATCCATTCCTAGCTCAAAGCGATCATATTCCAGCGAAGGCAAAAGCCAATAGTCCCTGCGAGGAAAGTAAATAAATTTAGAGCAACAGCAACCCGATCGGGCTATAAAACCCATTTAAATGGAGAGATGGTGCTCTGCACTTTTTCCGTGTGCCAGTGGCAGTATTTATTGTATTGCCAAATGGAATAAACCGGCTAAAGCCGGCAACAAATGGCTTTCTAATAGCTTTTTGCCAGCAGCAGCAGGGACAAATCCATCAGGCAGCTCGGAATGGGAATGGAAAGCGCTCCTTGGCTATCCAGTCTTGTCCTTCTGCCATTTATCCTGTCATAAGTTCTGCTTACAAATTGTAAAACAATGAAAATGAGAATACACTCGACGTCCTGCATACTCGTGCGCACCACATGCATACATATATTAAAAACACAGCAGCGGCAACTGGCAACAAGTGAACCACACTCGGCCGGGCGGTGGTGCAGTGGCAGCACCAGCACTTGTGCATCCTGTTGCTCCTCCGTTGTCTTCGTGTGCGTTGGTGTGTGTGTGAAATTACATGAATTAAGTGTGCTCGTGGCTGGGCTCCATTGTTGAGGCGCAGGACCCAGGGCCAGGGGGTGAGAGAGCGAGCGCCCTGAGCTGAGAGCTAAAATGCATGCACAAAACACATGCTTTAACATGTGCTCATCCTGCCACACACACAACTCCGGCACCCACTAACACACTCGCAGCACAAAAGATTGAGTGCGGAAGTGCATAGCTATAAAAATGTCCATTTATTTAGTTATCATTGCGCTTGTTGCTGTCGCCCATTGTTGCTTTTGCTGCCTTTCTTCGGTGTGTGTGCACGGGGAAAAATGTGTTCTGCTCAATAAACCCAAAACGGCCTTAAGCCACGAGCAGCTTGAAATAGTAATTTATAGAAATTCTATCCCAAACTCTATATTCATTTAATGAAGAATCATTTATTCTAAATAAATTGGGAAAAATAACTGTCACAAAAATACTCTTAGCTAGTGGATTAAATTAAATATTCAAATACTGAAATAATATCAAAATTGGGCAAATTATTCAAAGCTTTTAAATTAATTTTCTAGAAGCGTCATCGCACTAAGAAATTTCTTATTTTTCTCGGTGCGTGTGTGTGGTTTTTGCCTCCTGCTCCCGGGTCTCTGTATATATATATACCTTTTATACCGCACACAGCCATGATCATTGTGTAGTTTTTGCTGGCTCTTACAATTGAAATAAAATTTACTTGTGACTTTTCGTAGCTCGTTGGCTCGGTTAGCCGGTCGGTTGGTTGGTTGGTTGGTTTCTCGGATGGAAAGGGGATTGTCTCCTGTCTCCTTGCTGGTTTTTCGTCGTCTGTCGTCTGTTTGCCAAATGAATTTAACTAACTTTGTAAAGTTAATGGGGTTTGCTGTTTGAATTGCTCGCCCAACTTCCCCCCGCCCGTGTGTGTGTTTTATTATTTTATGGGATTCCCAGTTGACTTTTCACTTGCGCTGCATTTCTCCATTTGGCTTGCTCCATTATGTACTTGATTTAATTACCAAAACACATCGATTGAGCAAGTTTTTGTCCGGTTCTACGAGCATTCTGCCAAGTGTGGCGCATAATTGCAGCATAATGGATTTTGTTGCCACAATACCGCCCGACCTCCGCCCTGCTCTCCCTCCCCGCCCTGCCGCAGGCTATCCAATCTCTGGTGAATTTTTTGCCAGTGTGTGCTCGTATGGCCGACAACAACAAGAGTCTGTTTCTCCCTTTTGTCTCTGGTGACACAAAACGGTTTGTTTGCGGCCACACACACAGGCTTCCCCTTTGTTTGCATGCAAATGCATTTAATTTGAGTTTAAATACCCAAATATAAACTTCTGCCAAACAGACGCAACCACATGGAGAGTGCCGGGCAGCAGGGAGTTAAGCCGCTTGCTAGCCCGGAACTTAACCCTTGTGTGCTGCTGCTGCTGCTGCTGCCTTTGATTTATATTTACAAATTGCATCCATTCTGTCAGCAGTTCGGGGCTTATCGCTCAAAGTAAACAGAAATGTTGCCAAACGTATTAATTGCTTAAAAATTGTTTCTGTCCAGTGCAGTTGTTGTTCTTGTTACCGGATTTGTGCAGCGTAAACCACAGGGCACCACCACAGAGCCACCACCTCCAGGGCAACTTTGAGCCACTGAGCCGGGAAAATCCGATCAGCAGACCGCTTAGCAGAGTGCTGCTGCAGCTAAAGTTACAGCCACCGCCCCTGCCCCTGCTCCTCCTCTCCCTCCTGCTCCTGCTCCTGATCCTGCGCCAGTTGGCAGCTGCCTGCACTGCTAATAAAGCTTAGATTGCTGATTAAACGCTCCGAAGGGCTCAGCCCAGGGCGAAGCAGAAAAGTTGGATACCCATACGCCCCGTTGCACAGCCGAGATGGAGAGATGTCGATAAGTCGAACGTTAAGCGTATTATTATTGGGGTGCCAATAGATTTAGATAAACTCGCTTCCCAAGGAGCCAGAGCCAGAGCCAGCAAGCAGCCAGCGTGTAATTGACGGCCAGAGTCTCGACGGGCAATCAGCCAAATGGCAGGCTAAAATTTTATGTAATAACCTTTGAATTTCCAAGTAGCTCTAAGCAGACAGCGGACAGACAGAAGCACCGCCAATGACACTTAAAGGAGCTAGAAGCTGCAAAGCAGACAAACAAATGCACTCCGGCGAAAACTCTTTAGACTGGAGGAGGGTTTGCTCACAATTTTAGGAATTATTTAAAAGATTTTCGTAACGCATTTCGTATCCTAACTTTTCATATCAAATGCCTTTCAGATAAATATCATTGTCTTTCATAAGTTTAACGTTTTAAAAAAATTTTTAATGAGACTGTCACGAACCTCCCATGATTTTTGATCAGTGTAGCAGGCAACTGGCAAGCGAGTGGCAAACGTCAACCGGCAAATGGCAAACGGCTGCTTTTGTTATGTTAATGGCAACACGTAAGGACACGTAACAACGATTTCCACATGAGGTGGGGCCAAAGGCGCTGCGGGCCACGTTGGGAGGCGAATTTAGCACTTCAAAGGGTCAGGGGGAGGGTCGGGTGGCAGGGCGAGTGTGCGGTTCGCTGCCGCCGCTCACCTGAGAGCTGTTTGCATACCAAATAATAAAAGTGGCGAGCTCAACTTCGGAGCCGGGGACAAACAACGCACTTCAAACACGGGGATTGATCTAGCCGAAAAACAGCAACCAACGTCGCAACAAAAAGGCCAAAAGCCCGGAAAAGTTGGGCCAAAACCCTTTCGGGTGCCGCCAGTCAGACATTTTATTAGTTTTGACAGCGCTTTGTTCGCTCTGCCTGCGACTAGGCGAAGACCCAATTGAAAGGGCCCAGAGGCTCTCTAGGGCATGCTCTTTAGACACTTGACACATGCCGCTTAGGCTGTCAAGCATTCAATACCCATTCCAGGCCCCACTCGGCCGGAAACCACCCTGCAGGGCCACCAACCAACCCACATTCGATAGCCCATTTTCGGGGGCTGGGATTGAGTTGCCTTTGCATAACAATAAAAGAAAACTTAATCAGTCTGCAAATCGTCTGGGAAACAAGCCCCAACACCCGAATACTTGCACATATGCCGTGTAATCCGCTTATGTAATTGTAATGGCGTGATAAAAATTTATATCATTGCCGAAAATATTGTCGAAACGTGTTTAATTGAATTTTTATGCGTTTAGAGATCCGGCGTATTGCCGCGTGATTTCCCCTCTTTGTGTGCGAGTTGATTGTTGTTGCTACGTATGCGCGGAATAATTTCATAAAATTTTATGCGCTACATGTTGTGGCAGAAATGCAATTTGATAAAGTGCCCGAAACAGGAAAAATTAAATCCAATGTGCAAATAATTTCAATGAATTTTTCATAATCGCAACAAATCGCTTTAGCAGCCAAACGCAATGTGACAGGCGTTCGAGGGAATGTGATTAAATGGAAGCCATCGATTTGAATTCGAATTTGCATTTCCGTTTGGCTTTTGACACCAGCGATAATGGAGATGGAAAGCTGGGGAGCTTAGAAGGCGGTTTCAACTTTATAGACTCCCAGGCTAATATGCCACCGCCATCCGCATAATTCTTCATCTAGAATACGCTCAAACACACGACTAATGGGCCGCCGGGGAATCGGCTCCGTTGTCTGCACACGTTAGTGTCGCAAAACCGCAAAAAAGCGAAAAAACTTTCGGAGAAACATTCAGGCGATAATAAATTATTATCAAGTCTGTCGGTCGGTCGGAGCTGGGAATACGAATAAAGATTGAGGCTGCTGGGCTGGGCGCACTTTGCATGGCAACCGGCAGCTGCTGTTCATACGCCCCGTTGCACGCCGAGTTATGCTGGTGACTGGAGGAGGGCGGCATGCCTGGCATTCAATATGCTCCACTGCCAATACTTGCAGATGTGGATGTCGATGTCGATGTCTGCGCTGCTTCTGCTTCTGCTGTTGCTGCTGGCCTCGCTTGCAATTGTTGCCCCGAATTCCTGGCAAAAACGAAACGAAATTGCTCGGTGTTTGGCATAAGTCAAGTCCGCCGGATAACTGGGAACCAAGGCAGTCAGTCAGTCAGGTAGCCAGTCGTCTGTATAAAATGGATTTACTGCCAACTGTTGAACTGTGTGCTCTGTACTGCGAACTCCTCCTCGGTCTCCACTATTTACTACCTGCATTTCCATTGCTACTTTTGTAACTTGTTAGCGCAGCGCTCGCTTCGCTACGCTCCGAGTAGCTGGCATGGCCCTCACTTTTATAGCCGGCATTGCTTCCTAAGTTCTTGCACTGCGAGAAAGTCGAGAGGCGTCTCAATACTCCTTAGTATATTGCCCGCAACACATTTTCAAGCTAAATAAAATGAATACAGGTGAATCCACAAAACTTTTGGATTGGATTGGAAATATCCTTACCAAAGTACTAGGACATTTCCTAGAGTGCATCTTCCCGCTTTTTGCAGGTGTGTGTGACTAAAAGTAGTTGAAAATTTACTTTGCGCATTATTCGATTTGTTGTCTTGGGCAGGGCTGCACTTTACATTGTTTGCTTTGGGGTCGCCTTTGCCATTGGCATTGCCATTGCCCTTTGGCCACCAACTCGACCGGCAACTATTTTTTATGCTTGATGGCAATTTGCGCCCTGCTTCAAATTTGCGCTGATTGGCTGCACACGGGGTGGAGTCCGGCGGGCGGACTAGAATAAGTCACCCGGGCCAATGGACCGACCCTCGGCCAGCTGTCAAAGCAAAGTCCCCGGGCCAGGGAAGAAAGCCAGCGGCTTCCTTAAAGTCATCTGCCAGTCTTAATGCAGTCCTGCAGCTGCGTCGGAGTCTGCCTTATATTGCATAGTTTGCGGCGTAAGTAAAGCCATAAAATACAATTCAATAACGCGTCCGCCGCCGCCGCCGCCGAAAAGTTGCACACCAGCGCACCTTGTCTGACAGCTGTAAAATCCGTGGCCTTAAAACGGAATGCGGCCAAGGAAGCCGGGCCGGCTGGGGCAGCCAACCAACGGAGGAGCTGCAGCCGTGGTTCGAATTGGAGCTCGTAAAAAATAGCAGGGGAAACTTATTGAGCCAGTTATGAGTTTCGTACATGATACTAACGGCGTGGCCCGCGGCAATAATGCGAGTGCTTGGGTTGCGGGTGCGGGCAGAGAGAGCAGGTGGGCAGGGGAACTATCCTTCCAAAGGATATCTCGTGTACATGTTATGGCTTTTTGGTGGGGTGTAAAACTTTTTCCGCGGCCGCCATAAACCGCTTGGAGCTGTCCAAAAATTCAAGCAGCAGCCGAAGGGAAGAAAAGCTCACTACTTTGTGCAGGACCAGGCTTAAGGAAGTCACGCAAATAAGGTGTCCAAGACCACTTACACTTGGAATCAACAATATTCTTCTTAAATTAGTGACACCAATATGAGTATTTTAGAGCAACAATACCTCTTTAAAGCATGAATCCTATTTTTCCAAAAATAAAAAATCGAGTAGTTACATGCTGTTACTTTAAAGTCCATTAAAAGTAAATTAATTTGTTGTTTTTCAAAGTGTATTTTTCATACTCGTGAAATGCTAGTGACCATTTCCCGAGCAGCAGCTACAAAGTGCTTTAGTTTTAGTTGGCCCGCTCAGCATTCCTGCCGCGACACTCGTATAACTTTACTGGCAGCACGATGAAATTCGAGCCGACGCTTGCGTACCCAGTAGTCTCTACCATATACTCATAATCCTCCACCTTTCCCATCCCCAGGTGTATACGGCGATGTGCAACGTGTAAAGATTCTGTACAACAAGAAGGACTCGGCACTCATTCAGATGGCGGAGCCCCAGCAAGCTTATTTGGGTAAGTCAAGCAGACGCACTTTCACCCCACTAACCCACGAACACACCCCCACCTAGTACATACCAACATCCACCCCGAAACACAACGAAATGAAAGTAATGAAAAATCTGAGTCTCGATCCGTAAGCTGAGGGCCGGGGCGAAAAAAGAGCAACTGCAATTTGCAGCTTGTTTAAAATGAAAATTCCGGCAACATGAAATTCCAAACGGCGCATTCCTTTGGCAACCGTAACCGTTGCTGCTGATGGTGTTGGTTGTGCAGCTGCAAATGCAGCAAACAAAATGTATTAATAATAAAAATTGTTAAAGCGAGAGGGACGGCAACAGGGCCAAGAGCGCGAGATGGCTGGCCGTGCGCATAAATGGAATTTTATAAGCGCTTTATTACCAGCCCGCCTGGACAGCAGCAACACCTGGTCGAGATCCAGTTCCGCCCTCCCCCGCCGCTTCCCCCATCCCACGACGCCCGGCTACAAAGGCTCCTCCTGCTCGCCGGGACATGCCAATCATTTTATTGCATTTATTTGTGTGCACTTTGCCATTGTCAGGCAGCGCGCCTTGCCGGCGGCCAAGGACTCCCCCCCATCACCATCCCCATCCAATCCAATACGACCCCCTGCACGCATTAAACGAAATGAAAATTGTCGCGCATTGCGACGCGTTAAGAGCAACCAACCGACGTGCCAAATTCCACTTTATTACAAAAACAGGAGCGGCGGCAGTGGCAAGACGATCGAAGCGTTGACAGCGCTGACAGCGACACCTTTTCCAATTTCGATTTGGTTTTATTCCATTTAACACGCCAACTATCCAGCGAGCACTTCCCAGTCCACCGCCCTGGTCTCCTCCGGTCAGCACTCATTGTTCCCGCTCAGCGGTGCGTCCGCCGCTGTCTTTCATTTGTGTTATTTATTCATTGGAAAAATAACTCAAAAGCTGTCAAAGTGCTGCGGCCCTGCAGGGAGGCGCTTAATTGAAAACGACAGCGGTGCGAAAACTCCCGCTGGATGTCCTTGCCTTTGAGCTCGTAAGGAAACTGCAGTGGGTGCTGTGCACATGCAAATTTATCCACATTTTAAGCCTGGCTCAAAGGGCTTTGTGAGTAAAATTGCTGGCTCATGCGGCTCAGGTACAAATTCATATATTGTGCGGTCCTTGCAGAGCTTACTATAGACAAGATTGCCTTTGTTTCACCACGGCCGTATTTATTTCGGACCGATTCCGAATTACTTCCCGCACAAGAAGCATATTTTATTAGCTGCTTATTTCCGTTGAGAGAGGATGGAGATGAAAATCAGGTTGAATGCCATCAGGGCGTTAATCGTTCGCACATGTAATTTATCAATTATATTTTTCGTCACGATTCCGTGTCATTCGCACAGGCAGCGACTGTTGCCGCTGCTGTTGTTAATAAAGTTTAAATAAATTTAATCTGTCCAATAAATGCAAAGTGCGATCGCTGCGGAAATTGCCAGCAAATTGCGAGCCTGGAAAAGCGTAAGCTACTGCATAATGAATGCCATCAACTGTTTATTGATTTAAATAAAAAGAAAATAAGTGCATGGCAGGCCGGTCCAGACACACAGGTGCGCAAATACGTAATGTCCCGAGGGTATCCGCCAACCCGCAGACCAAACATCCGCAGTCGCATCCGCACATCCGCCGCTCAACCGCGAACTATTTTCGCCAGCTTGTCACCAACTGTGGGCCCGCTTTTCCCTTCGGCAAAAATATGCTTTGTGCTGTACTCAATTAATTTTTTAATTATAATTATGTAAACACACACATTCGCAGAATTCGGTGCCCGCGTGCGGTGCGCCTTGCATTCTTTAGCTCGCAGCTCAATAGCATTCCTGCTTTGAGATTTTCCTACTTAATTAATTGGGTTAAACCAGCGGTCGGGTGCGGAGGGGAGGAGGAGAGCTAATCAGCAGGAACTCTTGAAAATGCATGGCTTAATTTCGGGTAATTTTCCCTTGTGCGCTTTTGCCGGCAGCAGGAGCATCAGCATCTGTCCGAATTCGTTTCGGTGGCGTATACGCAATGTTGTGTTAATTGAATTCGTCCAAAAATTGACAGCATTTCGAGGACCACAAATGGCCGCCGCCGGCTGCAGTTGATAAAACTATTGTGCAGATTTTACGCAAATGAACCGACAAAACCAAAGCCAGTCAACTGTTTGGCCAAACAAGCAAATTATTGTGCCAAACTAGGAAGTCGACGTCCCTTCCGCTCCCACACCCCACCCAACCCAGCCCACTCCGTTCTATTCCATTCCCCAGTCAAACACAGAAATGCGAGCCAACGGCCCCGGGGCATGTGAAAATATTAATGGGCATGCGGCAGCATATAGACTACTAATGTGCCGCAAGGGCTGCCAAATGGCAAACACTTCCGCTGCTGGCTTTCCCCTATGTTTCAACCCATCTACACTACGAAAAACAGGCTAATTTATTTTGTGCTCAGGAAATATGTTTTCAGTGAAGAAAGGGCATGGAAAACTGTATGCTTAAAAGAATTCTATACCGGGATTAGTTCGAAACGATATCTCTGACACTATACTTTTTCCGAGTGTACACACCTACCTGGACAGCAGGTAACAAGAACAAGTCTGCAATGGAAGCCGAGTTCGGGCGGGAGTGCGCACTTATGCACTCATAAAATATTAACAAATTCATTCGTTACTTTGCCCAAAACTCTCGCCAACAAACAAAGACGATTACCGAACAAGGAGCAGCAGGAACAGGAGCAGGAGGCTGGAGGCGGGGGCAGGAGGCAGGAGGCAGCAGGCAGCAGATGCCCGGGGTCACCCAACTCACCCCATGCATACGAAAGTGTCTCGTAAGGTGGTGTGCGTTATGGCGGGGACCTCACACAAAATACGGTTACAATTGCACACTCAGCATACGAATTACAGCGTAAAGGCGCAAAAAACTTTGCAAGTGAAGTCACGGAAAACGGGGCGACATTGCGGGCAGGAGGCGATGGGAATCAAAATGGAACGGACACCGAACCACTCGACACAACTAACTGCGACAGCAATCAGAAGGCACGGGCAAGGAGCTGGGAAATAGACAAAAGCACACAATGAAAAAACAATAAGCTGCCCACCGCCCACTGGGCGTCCACTTGGTGGGCAGTTTGAGGTGTTCGGGTGTCGGGGAAGTTATAATGGAGCGTTTGTCGGCTGGCAACTAAGGGTGGCTGTGGGCAGTGGCAGTGGGGAGTGGGAGTGCGAGTGCGAAGCTGGGCGGGATTAAGTTTTGCGCAACTTATTGCCAACTATGGCAGGCACACACACAGATACCGCCAAATTTATTGGCCCACTCCCAGCTGTCGACGGGGCGGGGGCATTGCCTCTTTTGCTTGCAAATAAATTTTCTGTTTGCCGTACAAATTACTACAAAATATTTTGCATAAGCGTACGCATAAAGGCATTTGCAATAAAAACAAACAAACTCGCACATACTCACATGTGCTGGCCGCATTCCATTGCCATTTGTATTATGGTCGATTACGCATACGCCATGTGTGCGTGTGCTAAGAAATGTAGAAGTCGAGTTCGGTGAAAGTTTCCTCCGACTTGGGTTGACAATGCTAAGTGACTGTTTGAATGACTTGGCGCCCGGCCCTCTGTGGGCCACTATTAATTACGGAACTGGGAAAATGCCGGGCAGAGGATGTTTTGCATAGTTTACGAGCCAGAGATAATAAAGTGTCTGGCCAGTGCGGCCGTAGATCATAGTCAAGGAATTGCTGGACATTAATCGTTCAAATCATGAAAGTTACAACTAACTTGGAGTTTATCAGGTGGGGGTAGTGAACCCCTTCCAGCCCTAGCTCCGGATGCGGACTCACCTGAGCCACATTCGCCCCATCCTCTGCGCCTTCCGCTTGTGGAGTAGCATTTTCTGAGTGGGGTTGGTCCCAAGTGTATGGTGCTTAAAAGTCTTAAACCGAGAACTTCATGCATAAAACAAGGGCAGGCCCTTAAAGCCTCATCGCCGAGTCATTTCACTTACTTTCGGGCTCCCCATTCCACACTTCCTGTTCTTCCTGCTTGTTTTTGTTAGTTAATAATGATTTGTTGTTGCCGCTGATGCTGGTCAGCAGTCTCAGCCTTGTAATTAAAAGTTTAAGATACTTTTTGAGCCGGGGCCCAGGCGCAGCTGCAGCCCTTCAGAAATGGTAGGCAAAGTTAGGACCCGTCCCTGCCATTTTTCGAAAAGTGTCTCGCCTGCACATTAATCTTTATTACAAGTGTTTGTCATACACAACGACGAGTACAGAAAAAAGGATGCTCAGGCCACATGAGCTGCGACGGGCTTTGTCACTGCTGGCCTCCTTTTATTTTACAATTTATTATATTCATGCGCCTTTGGTTTTTTGAAAATCACTTAATCCATTAGGCAAACAATAAACGGCTGAGTAAGCATATTGCTTAACAATAAAACAGAGGAGCAGTGATAAAATGTGATGTAATTTATTAATGTAACGCATGAGAGTTGAGAAAAGTTCGGACTTTCTCTGGACAGTGGTCCTGGCCTAAGCCGTCGGATGACTTGGCAGGAACTGAAATTAAATAAAACGTAATCGAAACTGAATCGAAATGGGAATGGAAATTGAATTGTACTTAAGTACAGCTCTCCGTTGCACATGCATTCCGTCTGAGCCGCAGGTGTTATGACTGCCGAGAATATGAGAAATAAGGCACAGTCCGTTGGAACTTTCAGAGGGAAGGCGGCAGAAGAGAGCCCGAAGAAGGCGAACTTTTGTTTGGTAATACTTTTACGGCCAAACAAGCATTTCAGCTCGTATAAATCACCAAAGGCAGACGACATTGATAAAGATGCAGTTACATTTCAGTATGTAAATATTTACCCGCACTTATTGCTGACTTTGTTCGACTTCGACGGCTGGCGGCTTGGATCTTTGGTTACACTGAGGGAAGAAAGGGCCGAAGCAATATGCTGTTGAAATTAAAATGTAATACAAGGGGAAGAAGTCTTAGCAAGCAATATATAATTTTTTATTTACGGCGATTATAGTCTTCGGGTTTTATCATTCAGCAATATTTGTAGTTCTATGTTGTGCTTTTTCTATCCGTGTTTTTTTCCGGGGTTCGGGGCGAATACATTTTTATGGCTTTGTGGCGCAGCATATAAATTGCATTTCCACAGATACATTTATTGACACAGCCACATTTCCCATTCCCATCTACAGACTCATCTAACAAGCAAAAAACTTTTCCCCCGTGCACCCAATTTAACGTGTTACTTTCTGCTTCACAGCCATGTCTCACCTTGATAAATTACGTTTATGGGGCAAGCCGATACGTGTGATGGCCAGCAAACACCAGGCCGTGCAGTTGCCCAAGGAGGGACAGCCGGACGCCGGACTCACACGTGACTACTCGCAGAACCCGTTGCACCGCTTCAAGAAGCCGGGCAGCAAGAACTACCAGAACATTTATCCGCCATCGGCGACACTGCATTTAAGCAACATTCCGTGAGTATTCGCCAGGGCATGGCCCCTCACCTGCTCCTCCTGAGGGGTATCAGGTGGGCGTATGCGTGGGTGGTGGGACAGGCTTTCCGTGGATGCTGGGCGGTGGCTCGATTCGGCACGACAAGGCAATTACAATTACCGCTATGAGCAGCGGAAACCCCGCGTGGTAGCCTCGTCTGCCAAATATGACAAAGCACCCGCTGGTTGGGATTCGCATGGCGGCTGGAGGGTGGTGTCTGCCCTCCGCTGTGTGAATTTATGAGTCGAGCCAATAGCCCCTCAGACAAAGACCCCTTGGAGCGCCTGCCGGGTGGTATCAATGAACCAGCCTCACTGCGGGCACTTTCACGCACCCACGCACCCTTAAATCAATGACTCTTATTGTAAACCTAACCAATATCTCCTCTCTCTCCCTACAGCTCATCCTGCTCTGAGGATGACATCAAAGAAGCCTTCACCTCAAACAGCTTCGAAGTTAAAGCATTCAAATTTTTCCCGTAAGTAGTAGCGCATATTAAAGCTTTTTACTGGATCTATCACTAATGACTTTACCCTTGCTCGTACAGGAAGGACCGCAAAATGGCGCTGCTGCAGCTGTCGTCCGTGGAGGAGGCCGTTCTGGCGCTGATCAAGATGCACAACCACCAACTGTCCGAGTCTAACCATCTGCGCGTGAGCTTCTCCAAGTCGAACATCTAGAATCCGATCCGAAGTCAGGTTTACTGAACCTGACTGGGTGCCTCCGGCGGGTACAGCTACATGCAGATGCACCAGCAACACCTACAGGTCTATTGGCAGCAACAGATACAAACTATAATCCGTAGTACAAGAAGAATGCACGCAAACTTCTACTGAAAAGGCAGACGCCAGAAGCACCACCCACCCAATCCAACAGAACAACCAGCGGCAACAATCGATGCATGAGCTATACCAATTTTAATCAGAGCAACTCACTCTAGGAACTGTTTCTGTTTTTTACCCCACCCCTGCGGTGGAACAGGACAAAAACAAACGAGGAATCTTACTAAATTGATAAACAAAAAGTCAACTAAAAATAAATATAACTTCAAATTTACGCGAAAATAGCATTTCAACTTACGGCGCACGCAGACAACAAAGCAAGCAAACCACAAACAAACAAAACAACCCACTAAACAATCAGCAACATCGTAACTTAAGCATAACTTTAAAACTATAGTTCTTAAGAAAATTGCATTGCATAACAAAAACAAAAGAAAACAAAAAATATAAAGAGTAGACAGAGAAAAGTATGTTTAAAGTGAAGAGAAGATCGTAACTTAGAAATAATTTTAGTGCACTGTACTGTGTTTTGGTTTTAAAAAACGACAGAAAGTCAAGAACAAACTGAAGAGAGAAATTATGTTAAAAATGAATTAAGGCAAAGTTTTATTATGTACATGATGCTGTTATTATATTTTAAATGGATGCAACTTAACTTTAATTTTTTACAAGTGTGCAACTTCAATTGAAGCAATCGCATACACGTAGCTCGTAAATGTTTTCATTTTGCTAGACTTAAAAAGTAAGGAAGGATTTAGAGAGATGGTCCCGAATAGCACACCGAGTCCTAAGCACATTGAAGTGAAGCGAGGCGATGTGAAATAACGTTAAATGAAATTTAAGAAGATTGTATTAAATTTAATAACCTAAATAAATCGTGAACTTGGACACTGCGAAGATATATACTTGGCACGTCCGTTTGTTTAGAACTACGGGAGAGTAATAATTTTAAAGGCAGTTAAATCAACGCGTACGTAAACCCTTTGTGTGTATGTATATGTAAATGTTGTTAAGCTAGCGCAAATTATACACAAACGATCAAATATACATATGAATAAGTATGTATTGAACTACAACAAACCATGAAACAGGAAATTAAACAAATTTTAAGCTACAAAAGTATAATCTTAAAAAAGAAATCAAAACAGAAGGTAATTATATTTAATCATAGACATACTGGTAACGAAAGACATATACGTGTTTTAGCAACAAAACTGAATGATTTTTTGATAATTTTACAAGAACCCATAACGGACACCACACAAACACACACGCGACATACACACACTCACAGAAGCGAACAAATACAGACAAATATGAAAGTTTATATATATTTAGAAAGTGAAATTATTTATACGTTGGAGCAAAGAACAAACAAAAAGAGAAAAAACTAATAAAAACAAAAAAACACAAAATGGTTAAAAAATCAACTAATTGTAACTTACATGATATGGATTTAGTTCGTAAGCATGAGTAGCAGTGATCGTAATTTAAAATTAAAAGAAACACAAACACAAAGGAAACAAGTAATTCACAATACAAAATCCACAAGAATGGTAAAATTAAATGAATATATATAAACGAAAAACGTGTACGAAAAGCAACAGTAAAATATTGTAAAATGTAAAATTTATTGAAGTACTATATTTACAGTTATCAAACAATCGCGCAGGCAATACAGAAATATGGTCAAAAGGGGCAATACGAACGAGAAAAGGTTGACGAAAACCTACCTACATTTTCCATGTAACACAGAAAGCTTACCAAACGTTTTTGAGCCAACTCTAGCGTTTCATATACATACTGCAACTAGCTATCTAACTTACCTTAACCTTAAACCTATTTATCATACTTACATATGCTCTATGTCTATGTTTACTACTTATATATACACTATATACACGTTTTGTTAGCGCATCGAAGCAAAGTAAAGCGATATGATATACGTCTATATCAGACCCACGACTGCTAGAATTTCAAACGAGAACTCTTGACAAATCAAAATTTCATAAAAGTATTTAGCGAACTTAACTCTACAACTGCATACAACCGAGGCAACCCAGACTATGAAAAACAAAAGCGATTGCACACCCTCACACCATCAACTTAAACTAAACAATCAGCAAAGGTTAAGACGGGAATCAGGACGATGTCCTTGCTGTTCGTTGGTATGCAGCGTTCAAAGAGTAATCAAATATTTAGCCCAACGATAATATAGATACAATGGCGCTACTGCGTGTAAATGTTGATAGTGAACACGACACCGAGCAGCATACGAATTAATAGAACTAATGCCGAACACAAAATACAGATACCTATTACGAATATACATTAAATTCAGATATCAATAAAAGTACAGTAACGAATGGCGATGGCGAGGAGTCGGATGCGCAGAGTAGACAATGCAGCTAATTGACAAACAGTACACTAAAAAGTATTACTTTACCAAGGAGAAACAAATAACGATTAATTTACAATTTAATTGAAATCCCGAAATTGAGATCGTGCAAAAAAGAGGAGGAAATAATGATGGAAGCAACCGGTGCGTTGCATTGGGCCAAGTAAAACTGTCGAACTGAAAGTGATCTTGTTCGGCGGAAGCGCGAAACGAAGTAATCAAAGTAACAGAATTGCATAACTTAGTGATGGAGTCTTACAGAAACCAACAGTTTTAAGTTGTACATTACTAGTTGCAAGAAGAGATATTACCAAAATGCAAAGTGAAACATAAATCGAAGACTAATCGTGAATTACATATATACAAGAGGAGCACATTTTCGAATGTTGTGGGCCTTGTGTGCCATGAGGCGACATTACCCACGCAGGCTTACAGTGTGCTACTTTTACAGTTAGAAGAAACCAGATATATATGTGTATGTACTATATGTAATTGTAGCTATAACTATACATTAATGTGTCGATGAAAATGCAGCAAATTATTAGAGAAATAGCGATTGAGTCAACATGGAACGCAGTCAGAGAGTTAAAACTAAACACGAACTACAATCAAATCAAGTTAGAAAAGAGAAACAAAATCAGTTTTGAGTTACGGAACCACATGCGCAACATATACGTCATGAACAGAAACATATCAGCATTGTTTGACACATGAGTAGTTTATTTAGACCCCCTACTTTGTTCTCCAGATCACCTCATTTGCTTGAGTTCCACCTTGTTCGAGACCGACTCTGTTCAGTATAGTCCAAGTACACACACAGGGTTGTTAGAATAAAATGAAAGAAAGATGGGAAGTGATTCCGATAAAAAGCGAATATTACGCATACATTTAGAGCAGCGCATGCTACAAATTGTTAGTTCGGCAAAAGTCTAAAAAAACGTATTTAAGAAGTAAAGAAGCGCTGAAGTCATAGATGGAAGCATAGGGAATTTGTTCAGAGTTTTTGAAGAGACAGGCGATAAGACATAATAAAGTTGAGATGCATATACTAATTTGTACAGTTTACCAGTTTGTGTTAAATGTTTTTTTAAACAATTCTATGTGGTTTTTAGAGAGGTCAAAAAGCGCAAATCAAAAAACGTTGTTACGTTTATGGTTTTGTTTATTTGGTTTGTTCAATTAGACAAACGTATAAAACTGATATACAATACATTACCTTTACTTATAGTTAGCTAAATCTGTATGTGTTTTACATAATGCTTTTAACCGAATTGTTTTTCACAGCATTTGAATTGCGTTTTTGAGATACACAGTACAGAATAAAAGTTGACAACAGGCAGAAGTTCCTACTTTTTAGTAAAAACGATTAATAGTTAAAGCATAACTAACAGAAATAACTTGCAGCAGAGAATTTAATACCGATACACATAAAACAAAAAATTTTAATTCGATTGTCTTAGCCATTGCCACTTTCCTTTAGCGCTTTCTTTTATTAAAGGTTTGATTTCCTTGGTCTGTCTAATACTTGTGAATATATGGTGCGGTTTTTCATAGGTCAGGCATTATTGCAAAATTTAAATAGGGGCCAAGTTTTAAATATTAACAATTAAAACCTAACAATGGTATGACTAAAGTAAAGAGGGAACCTGGCATTGGCCAGCTGCCTTTTTGTGTTATTGGTACCCACTCTTCAGGAGGAATTTTTAAGAAAAAAATAATGTCAGTCACCGCTTAATTTCCGGCATCAGCTTCTGTGAATCGTTGCAAGTGAGAAAGCTTAGCATTCTGCCCTTGACTCTTAACTGCTTACAAACCCAACTGCGAATAGACACACGCGAAACAATCAACATTTCTAAAATCAAACTTTTAGTATACACCAAGCAAGAACACTTTGAAACTTTTGTGCTCTCTAATTGTACAACTAATGGTAATACGACAAAATAATCATTTTATGCTCTAAATGAAAAAAAGTAAAACTAAACGGCGATGTTTACGCATTGCAAGATTTTTCTCACCAAATTTTACTACAAATCTCTTATGTGTATTGTATATAAAAAGAAAAACGAAAACTAAAGTGTATTGATATATATTTAATTGTATTGCGATTGCAAAGAAAAGCAACACAAAAACAAAACCAGTGCATGCAACGTCAGACAAAAAGAATTAACATCCAAAGCAGCTACGTGACTCTTAATTAATTTTTTAAAACTTAAAGGTAAATTTTCATATTGCAATTGAAAGTGAAATGCAAGATATGAACTGTACGTACGAGTCAAAGCATTAAGCTTGTTGAGCTGAAGATACTTAGAAGTAAACTGAAGACATGTGGCACTAACTAAGTGGAAATGAAAGCAAATCTGCAAGCTGCGGCGTTGGCATCGAAATATTCAATTGAGCGCAGCATTGAGATTGCAATGATATGAGGAAAATATTTGTTATGTTACAAGCATTAATTAATTAATTATTATAATATTAATTATTATTGAAAATATTTGAGAAATAAAGATAAAATAAAAAATGATTTTCAGTTGTTCAATGAATTTAAGGAGAGGCATTCTTTGGGCCACACAAATAGTCCGTTAATTTTTGCCCAATGAAAATCCT